GCTCTGGACTGATCCTGGAAACAGACAGCAAAGCTGTGGTCTGGAAAGCAAAAGGTGCGAGATTCCTCCTCCTCTCACACACCCCTCCTATCAGGACAAATGCACCCTTGCTTCAACTCCAACTCTCTCCCCATGGACCAGTGACCCTCCCACCTGAATGCAGCTCTTTTAAGGTCTGACTGCCATGGTACAAGCATTCAAGGGCCCATCCAGTAAGTACAAGTCAACTGCTGGATTTTCTTTACCAGATCTGAGCCACTTTTTCAGCCATAGGGTCCTGCAAAAGAACTTTCCCAAACCAGTGCAGAAAGCGTTGTGTGCCACCCAGAAGGACCAACAAAAAAATGAGACCACAACGGCCGTCTTGACGAAGGACTGAAGACCAGTTTATACACAATCAAAAGAACCTAGTAGTCAGACTTCTCCCAGACTTTACTACTTGGGCCGAAAGGGTACGCTTTCATGGTTATGGAAAGTTTATCACAGAAAAACATTTTCAAGTCAGCCTTTCAAATATATTTATTTCTACGCCATGGGTTAAAATGCTTCAGCCAAAATGCATTTTCCCATACCCACACCTGCAGGCATTTGGTGGTCCAGAGGCAAAGCTGACTCATCCAAAAGAAATGAGGATTACAACTTCAGTTTAACAGAATTTGCACACTGTAAATCTTGCCCTTTGGTCAACGTGTGTGTTTTAACGAGGCCTTTCAATTCTGGGCTTTCTTCCGGATTCTGGTAAAGCACTGTGCCAGCAAGATATGATGTTGGTCAAAAACCTTAGTCTATAAATGCCTGAGGACAAATTATATTGAGCAGTGGTTACAGCAAGCTCTAACAGCAGCGGCCTATGAAAAGGTGGTTCCAATCGTTTCAAAAGTGCAAGAAGGAACACCGAGATGAAACAATGCCTACCATTCAGAGAAATATTAGATACAGGATAGGATCAGCCTCATAAGGGATCCTGTTTGATTTCTTTTGCAGAGCAACTAAGAAATGGAATGTTTGCAAGTAAGAAATGAAACTTTGGCCTTATTTCTAACTACTTTCTAGAATACTTAGAATCAGGCAAGACCAGGAACTAGGACAGGTATAAGGGTGTGGTGTTGATTGTTTAATGCCTGCTTGCCAGCCACAGTTTTATTCCTGCTGCCATGGTGTTTAGTGCAAACCCAACAAACATGACTGATAAACAACAGCATACAGCAGCAGACAGAATCTGGATGCAATACCAGCACAACCACTGAATGAGGTTCTTTCACTGCACTGCTGTTTGAAGAGCTCAACAGGATACACCCTCCTTTCTCAGCACTCAATATCCCAAACACACCCAGTCCCTGAAGCCAGAGATTAGCTATATATTAAAGAGGAAATGCACATCAGAAAACCTGCCAGTTATGATTTCAAGGGCCAAATTCAATGCTGGTAGAAGTCCAGAGGGTAAGTGACGTTTGCATTAGAAACAAGTACATTTAATGGGGGAGGAAAGAATAAAGTGCAGCACTACATTTGGGAAACTATACTCACACTTCTCAAAGGTAGGTAATGTGGTGCATATATGCATCAGCACACCGAGTGCCCTCTGCCTCCCTCTTGAAAAGAAAAAAATAAATGCATTTTCTTCGCAGCAGGAAGGATTGCTATGAAATAAGCTTCTGCTGCAAACTTAATGGGTTCAAAGGAGCTGTTTAGGGTGTTGGAACTCAGACTCCACCTATGACTTATATTTAGCCTTTCGGACAGGTTAATTGTCCTTCACCTTGCCTAGGCAGCTCTTTCGTAGTAGTGCCCAGGATAATTTATCAAAAGGACAAATATACTCCTGGTCCAAAAATCTTACCTACCACAACACACACACACACACACACACAGGAGGGAGGGAGGGAGGGAGGGAGAGAGAACGAACTACTGCTGCTTATTATCCACTAGTTTAAGACTCTGGTCATAGATTACATAAAATATTCCACTCCCAGGTACATAATCTCTGGGACCAACACCTAGGATTAGCATCTGAAGAGGGGTTTCATTATCATTATAATGTGAGTAGTTATCAAATGCTCAAAAAGTACCTGTGTAGTTTCCACCTCTGAAGCCAAGCAGGTCTGGGCCTGACCAGCACAGGAGACTGCTAGAGAGAAGTAACAGCTGTGTGCAGTTTGCTTCTCTTGATTTTGCAGTGCCTGGCTGCATATTACATTAATCCAGAAGCAGCCATGCTTAAGCCAGAAGAAGGAAGCAGGTGGCCCTGGCTGCCGTTCTCTCAGCTTTTCTTATGTCTCATTTAGCAGCTATCTGTCCTTAAAAGTGACACAGAGACAATGGGAAAGGCAAGCTGCTTCGCTGTGAGTTTGCCTACAGTCCTCATCTCTCCGGGCTCTTCTGCTCATCTTCAGAACCCTCCACAGTCAGAACCTGGCTTAAGCATGGCAACAGGTCACGAAACTCTGAAGCAGCAAAAGCATTGCCCATCTTCCCAAAGAGATAAGCCACACTCTGCTGCCCCTTCCAAATAAATAAAATAAAATAAAATAAAATAAAATAAAATCCACAGCCATTCAGCATCCTGGAAACATAATCAATCTTGGGGGATGTGCGGGAGGTTAGGCTGGAAACACACTCCAGACCATTCTTGATGTCTTCAGCCACATGCAACCCTGGCCCTTCACCTGCACAGCCTTGGTCCCACTTTCCCACTTGTTTTAACACAGCGACCATTACATCCATCTTCCAGATGGGAACACTAAGGCTTAGGAAATAATCTTCCACAAGTGGCCCAGGACCCCCACCTTCCAGAGTATCACAGCAAGCTCCAAGACAAGCCCAGACGCTCTGCGCTGAATATTCATGCTTTCAACCAACCTTCCAACAGATACAGCTACATAATGGTGCAGGGAAGCTACTGCATCTGCTCTCCGGCTGGAGACCCAGAATTCTGCTTCCTTCCTAGCCTGTACAGAAACCATGCAGTTTGGTCAAACAGGTGGGAAAGAGTTCTACTTTTCCCCTATCGGGGTGCATCAGAGGAAATGAAATCATTAACGCATCACAAGGATCCCCGATTGCTGGGCAGGAAGCAAAGGCTTGTTTAGCAAACAGGTATATCCCAGGCTAAGTGAAAATAGGCTGGTGGGATGGGGTACTTTGCCAAGCAGGAACAATCCCTCTTACAGAAGATGCAACACTCCAGTCACGCTGTATTGGCTAGGTAAGAGGGATTTCTTGAGAAAGAAGGAGCCTGAAAACACATCGCCCAAAGCAACCTAGCAACTCTGGGTCATGTTCTTCCATTTGTTAATGAAAGATTCAGACTAGCAACCTAATAACATCGTCTGCACCACAGCTCAAAAAAGCCTTAATACTGAAGCCAGCACCACTAGCAACTACCGCCTTTATTTTTTCCTCCAAGTACAAATATATTTAGCCTATATTTAGCCATGCAATTAGTACGAATGTGACATAAATACTTTGCAGAAAATACACGTTAATGAGACGCTGACATGGTGAATATTTTAAACGTGATGCCATTTTACTCCTGCACACACTGTTCCAAGCGAATTGCCGAGCATTATCAGGGAATTCAGAAGCATCTTTGCGCATCTGAAAGCATCCTGTCAAATCCAGTTTCACAATAGCCTCTTTATATGGCTGCCACCAAGCACCACATCAGAGAAAAGGACAAGAATAAAATTGATAATACACGCACAAAAACAGAGATGAGGAGACTCTCGGCATTTCAGAAAATGTCTGCTGCATTTTAATAGACTATATTCACACAAAAACCTCCTTCGTGTAGGAAACACGAATATCCCAAAGATATTGTACCACTAGTCCACATTGGCACAGAATTCATCCCAACATTAGGCAACACTAGATGCACCATTCTGCACTGTGGGAACACAAGCTGCAGAATTTGTTTACACATTCAGCAGAATTAACAGTGAAAGCTTTCCTAGGTTGTAGCACTTGAGGCTGCAGGGTGAATGTTTCTCCACGGCCTGGCCTTCTTCCCAGACATTGATTGTAAGAGCTTTTGGCACTACTGTTGCACAATCCTTTTAAGTGTGAATGGAGGTCGCACTTTCGTCTCATCTCATTTGGAGAGAATGCTTAGGATACCGTTCGGGAAGGCATGTCATCCCACCTCTCTTCACTACCAGGGCAGCCATACACCATCCCCTGCTATGGAATTCCCAAGGTGGTTTTTCAATACCACCTTATTTTACCTGGAAATTGTAGCAGGGCTGCAAAAAGAAGAGAGGAAAGGCACCCATCCAGCTGTCAAATTTGAAATATGTAGGATATGCAGCCTCACTCCAGTGCTGGAGTGAAAAGCAACATCGATGGATTACTTCTGCTGCCAACCCCCAGTTTCAAGGTGCAGGAAACAGAGAAAGTGTTGGTAAATTTTGTGAATTTTGCCCCTTTTTCCCCCATTTTCCCCCATGGAGCAACAACTACAGCCATGCGGAAGCCTTTATGAAAAAAGAAGCAAATAAGTAAATAGCTTGTTGGAATGCTAGTTAATTGATTATTTTCCCCAGGAGTCCAGCCAACAACAATGGCGACATGATAGATATATTTTACGGCTTGAAATTATCCCAACAGAAGCAGAATTGCAGCGATATCCAGTGCCAGTCCAACTTAAAATAGACCCTTTGAAATGAGTGGGGCTTACATTAGGCTAATACCAGTTACAATCAACAGAACAAATTTCATTATCATTCCTATCCACTGAATAGAGACAACATAATAAATGATTAGTTTTGAATAAAGCTAATATTCCTACAGCATTAGCAAAAACAAACCAACCCCAAACCTTTTATTATTGTCTCTTGATTCTACTGAATGTGTAAGTTGATCCTAACAGAAGTAAATGCCACAGATTTTGCGTCCACTGAATTGCATATGCTACTACAAGATACAACTGGATCAAAGAGGAGAGGCATCTTTTTATCATGGACTTTTTGTACCTTCAAACCAAACAAGATGCCCAAATATACCTTAAAAACAGCTGCGGAGGGGGGAGGAAAAATTGAGGATCTCAACACACAAGAAGTTTACTGAGGGCACAGAGTCCACTTGCAAACCATTAGTTTGGAATGAAGTATATGACACTTCACATATTTCATTTCACCCTGAAAGGGAAAGAAAAGAAACACATACACAGACATGCAACATTCCCTGTATACCAATGCAGGAAAAGCGAGGTTGTTCTAAAGGTAAAGGCTGCCCTAGATCCTTGCAAGGTTTGCAAATATTTGCATGTAAGTCGACACAGAAAAAGCCACATGACATCTACCTATATTTTCATGCTTTTGCTTACAAAGAAATTCATGCAGGGAGTGCAAACAGCGCCTTAGGACATGGTTAGCAACTGCTAACATTTCCCTAACCCCTACAAAAGGAGCTGACATAGAAAACCAGTCAAAGGATCCCAGTCATAGGAAGCCTTTGCAATTCCTGAATGGGGGAGCAGAGGCGATGGAACCTCTGTTCCAGCTGAACCTCACATGCAGGGAGAACTTGACTATGGGAAAACTCCAACCATGAACAGCCAAGAACCTGCATCTAAAGCCTAAATACCAATATAAGAAAAATAATCTGTGCAGAGGGGAAAAGAAGCCCCTAACCCTCAATTCCACTCCAGTCGGAAAAGAAAAAATCTCCCCCTCACCCCACAGGGTCTGCTCTCAAATTCTGCAAGAAACAGGAGAGGTTTCCACTCTATATGCACTTCTCCCCCCAGGAAACGATGCAAAATAAAGAGGCCCCCGATGCTACCCTGACCCCGCAGATCACAACATGCTGGGGCAGAAACGCTCCGCTCCAGCTCTTCCCCCAGTCGCGAAAGCAAGGGCAGCCCCACACCCGCAGCCCCCCGGGAGGAGACCCCGAAATGCGGGGAGACCCCCAGCCCCAGCCGTGGGCTGCAGGGGCGGGGAAGGAATGGAGGGAGCCTCGCCGCGGGGGACCCGGTTCCGCAGCGCCGCGGAGAAGCTCCCGTCCCCGGCCGCCAGGAGAGGGGAGCGCGGCTCCCCTCC